GGAGGCTCCTGCTTGGACGGGCTTCCCCGGCGCCTTGCACCGGAGGCTGCCTGCTGGCGGGGGCCGAGAGAGGACCAACGTTGTTAGATATTGATCCTTTCTTCTCAGCACAAAATTAACGGGATCAACCAAAGTGATCCAATTTCACTGCACTTGGGGGCAAGGAAGTTACTAAGACATGTACAAATGGCTTCTATACGCTTTAATGTCTGCAGGTCCCTTTCACATCTGTTATCTCAAATGATATTCCCTTTTTTTTTGATAGCTGCCAGTCTCCACATGTTACCGGAGAGGAAACGGGGTCAAGGAGAGGAAGTTGTCAGGGTCTGGGAGCCAGTCCGAGGTCGCCTTTGAACCCTCAGCTTTTCCCTGGGCACAGCGTCGACAGGCAGGCGCAGTTTCCCTTACATGAAATTAGCTTTTTTCAGACTAATATCCCAGAATGAGAAGATCTGTGGAGAAGACTGGCCTGTTACTCATAAAGAGAAGATTAATGCTAGGAAGAGTTTAAAATCATATTGCTTATGTCAAATGTCCCTTCAATAATTGTTTACAAAAGAGCTTATTTAGAACATAAAAAGTTGGTTCCCAAGAAAGTCATATGTGTTCTCCTAGGAGCAAATTAATAGAAGCAAACAGTCGTGTTCTTGGAAATCCCTTGGATAAATAATTTTGTACACGCTGTTCCCTCTGACCCTGCCTCACATGGGCTCCCTGTCTGTCCCTCCCTGGCACCGAGCCTGGCTGAAGTCTCACCTTGTTCTCTACTCTCAGGCGCCTCTGCTCCCTTAGACTCCACCTCCCACACCCTTGGCTTCTGTGGCTCCTTCTTTCCTGCAGCTCTTCCTGTCCATACCCCTTAGAAAGCAAGCTCTGCAGGCCTGGGCCGGGTGTTTCTTTATTGCTGCTGTGTCCTTGGTGTGCTGCCTGGCTCATAGTAGTTGCACAATAAATATTTGCTGGGCAAACGACTGCATGGGTCACCAACCACCAAGCATAAACTAGCTGGCGTGGTTAACACGTGTTCTGTCTTTCTCTACTAGCTTGTCTCGTCTATTTTTATTCCTAGCACCAACCCGGCACCCAGAATGGGAGCTCTGTAAATGTTTGTCAAATGAATCAAGGACTGAAAGAAATACTGAAACATTGTTACAGAAGTGCTTTCAATAGCCACAGATTTTACCCATCTTGTGAAATAATACCACATCTCCTCCCGTGTCCATAAAGACAGAGGAGATGGGATGGTGAGTGGTGGAGGGTAATTTACAATCTCTATACAGGGGCACATTTTCATGATGCATCTGACTGATCATACATTCCTAATACTTCTGGTTGACAGACACCTCAACAAGCCAGTGGCACCAGTCATACTAGTCATATTTAACAGTTATCAGGTATGTTAGTCCCAGCACTGTGCTAAGGGCTTTATCTGTGTGAACTCATTGAGCTCCTACGACCAGCCTCATGAGGGAGGGCTAGTTCTCTCCATTCAGCAGCAGAGGAAACTGAGGCACAGAGCGTTACATGAGCAGGACTCTATAAAGCCTCACAGGTGCGTGCGGGGCTTCTAGGCTGCCCTGAGGAGGAGAGGAAGGGGCAGGGCCTGTGCAGGCAGGGAGCACCACTGGGCACGAACCTGACTTCCTCCTAGATCCAGAGCTGTTACGCTGTTAACTATTTTATATGCTGGGTTTCTGCAAAAGATTTCTTAGTAGGGTTTTGTCTAGCTAGAAGAACAGGCTTATGAAAACAAACAAAAACTTAGATGTTTCATAGTTTTACAGAAAGGAGAACTAAGATTTCAAGCATGTCAAATCCCTTGGCCATCGTTACCATGGCCGAGCCAGTTCTAAGCATCTCGACCCCGACCAGTACAGGAGCCTGTTCCCTGTGCCACGTCGCCCGATGTCTCCATAACGGCACTTGAATTTGGCACCCTCATTGATCAAGAGACTTGTTTGTCTAAAACTTTCATTTCCAGAGGTATGTCCTGAGCAATATTGAATAAAATGAGGTAAATTATAAATTAAATTTAGAAATGTTTGTCTCGCGGAGTTGTTAGAGGAAAACAGGAAGGACAAGGTAAGGCTAGACGAGGCAGGAAGTGGGAAGGGCACTCGGGATCTGGGACTGACCAAGGTGAGTGTGCGTGTGAGTGTGAGTGTGTGTGTGTGTGTGAGGGGTGGGGACATTGCGAAGAGGACGGCTTCGTGTCCTGGAATAAAAATGACAACAGTCATAACAATAACATTATTTTTTGAATGCCTAACATGTGACAAGTTCACAAAGCTGAATACTTTGCATGCATCATCACTTCTAATATTGAGGTCAGTCGACTCTCCCCATCTCCTTGAAGAGGGAGCAGAAGCAGTGAGCCGAAAGGGGCAGAGAGAGACTCAGCCAAAGCATTAAAGTGCACGCTCCGAGCGCCTCAGCTGCGTCCCCACTTCAAAGCGCGCAGATTCAGGGACTCAGGTGTTCTTGCATCCAGCAAGATGGGACAGGGCCTGGCTTAGAGCTAAGGCCCCCCACCCTGACTCAGGGACACTATGGAAGGGTTGCACTAGACCTCCCTCTAGGTCGAGCTGAGCCAGGCTAGGTAATTCAACCACCTGCTGCTCGGATGCCTGAGATTCTTTGACCTGGGGACCAAGCCTTCCATTCCCATTAGAGCTGGCATGCGGAGACTCCAGGCCGCATTTCAGCCTGCAAACCAGTCAGAAACAATGACTGAAAGTAAGCCCTGCATTTGCACAGCTCTTTACAATTTTCAAAATATTTGTGCTTTTTCAAGGTCATTAGGGCAGGTGTTATAACCCCTACTTGACAGAGCCAAGAGCTTGGATCAGAACAAAGGGAAACTTCACAGAGGGTCACACACATGCCAGAGGGAACCGACCTAGAACCCAGCCCGTGTCTTCACAGGCTGTTCCCTCTTTGCAGGGCAGCAGAGCGCAGGCAGCGCCGGGAGGGGTCAGGGCTCTGAAGGGCAGGAGGAAAGTCTCCAGCATGACTGGGGGCCAGTGTGGAAGGAAAACTGTGTGTTCAGAGGGCACAGTGCCGGCGCCTGGCTCCTCCTCTGTGGGGCGGGGCCCGGAGGAGCTGTGCCCAGAGGTATTTTTGTCTTGTCGCTTCAACCCAGGCAGCTCCACTTGGAAGGATTTATGATTTCTTGGGTTTGTTTTGTAAACAGAGCCCAAACCACAGGAGGGAACATTCCCAGGGTCTTCCTTCGTGCTGATGTTGCTCTAAAATGATGTTGCTTCGGGCTAGTGTTACACTGTAAGTGTTCTCAAGTTGCTGAACCTAGAACGTTAGAATGGCGAGAGGCCTCGCTAGGTACCCAGCCTATTTGCCTCATTTTAGTGAGTGAAACTGAGGCCTAGAGATGCAGAGAGAGCTGCCTGAGGCCTGTGGCCAACTAGGGCACAGGGCTGCACTTGAACGCCTCAAACACCCTAGTGCCGCTTCCCCGACCTTGTGGCCCCAGAGCGGTGACACAACAGATGGAGTCCATAGCTTCATGGAGCTTTGACTCTATAGGGGTGATCGCCTTTAAACAAATAATTAAAGGTGAGCAGTGAAGGCATAGAGGGCTTTGAGGGCTTCTAACAAGGGGCATAACTTGGCCTGGAGTTCAGGGATGGCTGCCTTATAGGCACGGGGCTTCCAGGGGGAGAAGGGGTGGTCCCTGGAGCAACAGGAGAGGCCTTGTCTGCACAGAGCGGCAGACAAGGCCTTGTCTGTCTTCAAGGCGGGTGGTGGCACACGTGCAGGAGCTGAGGGGCCTGAGGAGGGGCTGGGGGCAGGTGGGAGTTCAGTTCATATTTTAAACACAGTGGAAAGTTTACAGCAGAAGAACAGGAAAGTGATGGGGTTTGGTTTGCTTTATACATAAATCTCTCTGGCTGCATTGAAGGCAATGAGCTGGGGACGACCCGTCTCCTTATACAGAGACTGGCCTAGTGACTCAGCACACCCTCAGTGTAGGCACAGCTGGGAGAGGGGATCCAGCTATGATTTCTCTTAGGGCAGGTGTTAAGCATAAAGCTAGGCCCAGGACACATGCCCTCTAAAACTCTGTGGCCTGAATTGGGGCAAAAGCCAAACAGTGGTGTTCTTGCTGGTGCCCCAAGAACACAGTGGAAGCTGGCAGGGCCTGGAAGAAATGTCTGGGTAGAGGAGGGGATGCCACAGGGTCAGGGTGCAACTTGGTGGACCTTGGAGGACAGGCTGGCCTTGGGTTGGTGGCCAGGTCTGTTGACTTGGATGGGGGCAAAACTGAGCCTGCCAACCTGCAGTTAGAGAAAGAGAAACATGTCTTCAAGTGCCTGTGAATATGCCCTGAACTTTGGAGCTATGAAAACCCCAACCTCAGACTATCTCTGCATACCAACTGGGACATTGGAAATCTGGAATTTTCTACCACTGACTTCTGGTGTGGAGTACCTGGACATAACTGGTCTGGGAGGGCCCTGCTCTCACACTGGTCCCTGTGCTTTCTTCAGTTCAAAAAGCTGTTTTAATATTCTTTCTCCCTTCTCTTTGTCTTTCTATCTGCCCACTTGTCTGTTTGTCTTTCCTTTTTTCCTTTAGGAGGCAGTATGGGATTTAGATATATGCAAGTCTGGGTTTGAAATAGGGCTTTTCTACATACTGGTTAAGTCACTTTTCCTAGCCTCTTGGATTCTCAGTTTCCTAATCTGTAAAATGGGTATGTTATTATTTTAATCATAGAGTTGTAAGGTTTGAATTAAGCAATATGTGTAATACACTTAAGAACCTGGCACATAGTAGGTGCACAATAAGGTACTATGGCTCATTCATTGGTTTAGTGTTTATCTGGTAGCTACTGTGGGCCAGACTCTAGCTAGGGTCTGGGGTCATAATGCTGACCTCCAAAACGCCCCTTTCGAGTCTCAGGTAGGGATTAGGGTCCCCACAGCCCAATGGCAGCATGTGGGGAAAATGACTCCTCCCAGGGGGCGTCTGGAAAGAGGCTCACGCACTAGGGACAGAACTAGATGCAGTCTAAAGGCTGCTGTCAAAGCGCCCAGATGCTCACTTTTTTGCCATTTTTTTCTTGTAGTTCCTTTGTTCAGTTCCATTCAAATTATCAACTATATTGTGCCTGCTACCATGTGGCAGGCCCTGGGCGAGGTCTGCCGAAGGACACCGAGGCTGGTCAGCTGTGGGCCTTGGCTAAGCTGATTATGCAGAGGTACGGTAACTGAGACAGTGACAGGACAAGCCCTTCCCATGAGGGCTGTCCATAGGAACAAGTCTCTTGGGCTTGTGGTAGAAGACTCAGTGGGTCTCCTGATTTCTGAAGCTTATCATAGGAAAGGATGTCAGATGTCATTTCTGGGTCCCATGGACGCAGAGCCAGAGCCCGTGGTAGAAATCTCCATAAGGCCCATTTTATCTCGTTAACAGGAACAGAGCTTTCTTGTATTTTTGGGTGTCCAGCAAGAGAAAAGGCTGTCTGGCAAGCAGAGTGGACATGCTATCTCTGCAAGTGCTCAGGGAAGGCTGGATCAACCCCCACCTGGGTGTTGCGAAGGGAATGCCTGCTTTGGGTGGGAGGTTTAATGGGGTGACCTCTAGATGTCCAAGTGACTCAGGCAAAAGTTCTAAGTTTCCATTGTCACCACCTTCTCTTGGATGCTTGCCAGCTTCCTCCCCCTGGGGCTCACCCTGCGGCTTACCTCACTCCTTCCTGAACCCAGCTCTGAACCTTCCCGCGGCAGCCTACCAACCTGGTCCCAGTGCGTCAGGCTGCTGGGGCATGTGGGAAAGAGATTCCAGTTGGAGTTCTGGCTGGACAATTTAGTTTTGTTATCTCATCAGGTCCTCTTAGAAATCTTCCCCTCTTGAAGTATTTATGATTTCTTTCCTAGATTTAAATTTCACACACATTTCATATGATAAAAAGATACATACACCAGCATCTGTTACTACACTTTCAAGCCTGATATTTTGAAAAATCAGTAGCATAGTAGACCTAGAGTCAGGCTGCTGGATTCAAATCCCAGCCTCCCTACTTACTACCAATGTTGCCCCAGCCAAGCTACTTACTCTCTCCAAGAGAATAATTTCTTGTATCTGTAAAACAAGGTACTAATAACATCTAGCTTACAGAAATGCTGTGAGATTAAATGGATAATAACATGCAAAGAATTTAGAACAATGCCTGGAACATTGCTTCCAATAAATGTTAATGGTAAACAGATAATCATCAGATAATTATTTTGTTCACGATCCTTCATTTACTTTCATGTATTAATTTTAGAACTGTTTCTTGCACTTTTTAGATATCAGAATATCAGCATTGAAAGGATTCTGGAAGTTTCCAAATCCAACCCATCTTTTTATTGCTAAGAAAACTGAGCCCCAGAGGGGTGAAATTACTTGCTCATCTAGTGTGCAGAGCCAGGAAGAGAATGCACGGGTCTCTTCTCATCCGATGCCCTTTCACAAATCATCATTTCCTTTACGAAGATTAAATAAGGGTTCTGTTTCTCTGGTAGGTTGCTTATAAAAACAAACAAATCACAGGCATGTAATTAAATAAGTAATCAAACCCTTTCAATGAAATGTTTTGTTTAAATAATTGGAAAGAGAAAAATGAGATTTGCCTGAAACTTTCTGTTTCGATGCTTCAGAGGACTTCGGACGTTGGCTTCTGGGGGTCAGCAGCCCTGCACCACTCCCTTCCTTAGGCCTCCATGCATCTTGAGGAGCAAGGGCCAGCCCCAGGATAACCTTGTATGAATGCCTCTTCTCAACAGTCCTCCTAGTTTACTTCTTGGAATACCAGTTCCAGGGCCCATGCTCTCATCCTGTGTGGTTTAAATCATTTACAGATGTGCTGCCAAGCTTCTTCATTGTGTGTAAAATTTATTTTTGCTTCAGTTGCACACCATACTGTTGGGTAGAACTCTGAGCTAAGTGAATGGTGTGATGTCCTGCAGAGTGGGGCCAACTGGCTGCAAAGAGGTATGATGTGATGTCAAGGCATTTCAAGGAAGACTTTCCTGGAATAGGTGCAACTTGGTTTTGAGAGTTTATAAGAAAGCAGGATCAGGGTAGCGACAAGTTTAAGTCAACCTTCAGCTCGACTGAGCAACACTGAGTGAGCCATGCATTTCTGACTGTCCTATGGAGAGACCTTGTTACCCCACTAGACCTGCCTATGCACATTGCCTATGTTATTGATTTCAAGTGCTGCCACAAATTCCAGAATTTGAAAGTGAACAAAAATGTCCAAGAGCCATAGTCCTAAGCAGGACATGGAAAAAGTGTTCCTTGGTGACATAATTTTGTGTAATACTGGGTTGAACAAAGTTCAAACTGATTCCTCACTGCAGGATTTCTCAGTGCCTTAATGTGTTAATATGTATACTGTATATGTATATATGTGTATTATACAAATATGTATATATATGATGTACTAATATGTATAAATGTATATAGTGGCTCCCCAAGAGCAGGTTTAGAATGCAGCACTTATCCTTCCTTCTTGGTCACAGAGCCATGTTTTTCTTTCCAAGAACATATGTGGGATCAGGGTTCTGAGAACACACTTCAGCAGATATTGCTCCAGAAGGAATTCACCTTCTCTATTTTGTCAGAGCAAACTCCAAAGGCTGTTACACGAAGGGTTAATCCCAAGACTGAGCCGTTGTGCTCCCTGGTACACAACTCAGCCACTCACCCGGATCTACGAAAGGTGCTTTCTGAATCTGCCTGAGAAGATTCAAAGGTCCACTCTCTCCCCTTGAGGAGGAGATGGGGCCACCTACTGCCAAGGGAAAGACAAGAGCTCATGCTGTTTCCAAGATGTAGCTGCCAGGCTGCCCCTGCACAGGACACGCTGTGAGTTGGAATTCATTTCTCTCCATCTCACTGTGTACCATGGAGAGTGTTCATGTTTTGGCCTGAACATTATGGGGTGGAGCTAAACCTTCAGCCAGCATGTCATTAGCCTGAGCAAGTTAATAGCTTGGAATGTCTTTCCAGTTTTTTGGATTCATTTTTTTCACATTGGCAAAATGGGGAGGTAAGCATAAGTGCAAAAAAGCCCCACTCATAGACATTCACTGATCTGCCCCAAGCTGGACGCCATGCTTTGGCGATGCATTGGATAAAATAGAGTTGATTTTTTTTAATAGGTGCATGACGATAAGTTATAATACAGCATGCTATCTGCAGAAAGTACTCCAGAAAGAAAGGGGGAAGTGATGGATTCTCTCCGGATGATCTTCAAGATCCCTTCCAGCCCTGGTATTCTTAGCTATTATGCCTTCAGGCTCTTTTCTTCTTGTTGCAGCTGGCCCAGAACGTTCTGATTCTTCAAACAGCAGAGGACATTCAGTACTGCCGTCCTTGGGTGCTAAGTGACTGTCAGCTGGTCTCCTCTTGACTGGACTTCGTCAGGCTTAGCCCAGCAGGCTCTCCTGTCCCACTCCCCTGAGTAGGGCTGGATGCTGCTCCTGAACACAGGTCTCCCTTAGGTGTTTGGCTGGAGTGGAGTAGGTACTGTGCGCATGGCATTCATTCCCTGGAGCCAGCCTCTGAGCATGAGAGGAAGAGGATGTGTCTCTCCTGGGAACCTCAGGCTCCCAGTACGTCTCAATGCCCCAAAGAAAATGACTAAAATTCTTCACCCAGTGTCCTAAATCTTCCCGATTTCCTGCAGGGCACACATTCTGCTTTATCCCCTTGCCCTCTTCACCTCCTTCTAACATTTGGAGATGCACCTTCTCCTTCCCTATTCCCATTTCTTTTCTCCTTCTCGTTTTCCTCCTTCTCTCCTTCCACGTTCCAAGTACCATTTGCTGAGGATGATTTCAGCAATAATGAAATCACCAGTATGAGTGAGTACTGCCTATAGTTTCAGACAGAAAAGTCAGAGCACATGTTCTGATAACCTCCAGCTGACCAGGGTGTGAGGAAGGGCTTGGGCTCTGGGAGCCTTTTGGCCCTTCTAATATTCTCCAGAAAGCTTCCACCATTCCTCCTCCCTGAACAGAAAAAAACGTATTCCACCAGGGACAAAAATACCCGGAAGCAGCATTGTTAGTAGCTGTAGCCACAGGCCACCCACCCTTTGCCCTTCCTCAGCTTCACATCCCCAGGGACACTATAGAAAACAAAGCGGTATGACTGGACAGAGCCAAGGGTGGCTTGGCGCAAGGCAGCCTGGAAACCTGGAGTGGGGAGTCCAGGAATGGGGGGTCGCCTGGTCTGCCAGATGGAAGCGCCTCAGCTACCGGTGAGGAAGAGGGTTCTCCCTCTCATCTTGTCTGGGTGCCGTCAGAAACCAGGTCCCCCAGCCTCCAACCTGAGCACACTGCCCCATTCCACCTCACCTGCATCCTGTGTAGCTTACTGAGAGGTCTGAGGCCATCAGCCATTTTCCTGTAACAGGATTGCCAGCCAGTTCCCCTCCCCCCTCCGTCTTGCCTTCCCTCCCCTCCACAAATGTATCCCTTCCACTATACTGATCTTATTTATCCCTTTTCCCTCCCTGGAGTTCCCTTTGGGGTTTCTGCAGTACCCCAAATGTCTTTCTTCTCTGTCTCCTTCTCCTCCATCTGACATACAGGCAAAGAATAGCCTTGTGCTGGCCCCACTTTTCACCCGACTCCTTTGCAAATTTCCTCTGGGCCACCACTCTGCGGCTTAACCTGCCTTTTTATGGGTGTGGGTGAAATTGCAGTATTTCCAGAATCTCTCGCCTCGCCTTCATGCATCTCTATGGCAATAGGTGTTTCCAAGGGGTGGACAGAAGTAGTCCATCTCCATGTCAATAGGTGATTACAAGGGTGAGCGAGGGCCTATCTGGACCAGTGAGGTTGGGTGGGGTCCCTTTTTCTGCAGCCGGGTAGCAAGAGACATGGGCGAGCAAACGTGGACAAGGGCTTATATGCAATAAATAGGGTTTCTCCCACTTAACTTCCCCCTTTGACTGATTTCAGCTTCAAAGGTAATTTGCCCCAGGCTAGGAACATATTTTCCCTCAAGTTGGAATGGGTAAACAATGACCTCCCAAGAGCCTCTTCTCATTTTTTATCCTATGTAACTCCTTCAGGGCATTATTTAATATAAATTCTTATAAAAAAGTACCAAAAAATAAAACCTCTTGTTGTAAAGAATTCAAACACTGAAGAAGTATGTAGAGTAGGAAGTGAAACATCACCCCCACCCACCCACCACGCCATTCCCTAAAGGCAGGTAACTGCTCTGAACAGTTTGGTAAAAATTCCTCTGTACTGTTACTTATAAATTTACAGATTTGGGATCATTTCAACCTACCCTTTTGTAACTGGCATTTTCTTTTTTTAAAAATTTTATATTAAGGTATGATTGATATACACTCTTATGAAGGTTTCACATGAAAAAAAAATGTGGTTACTACATTACCCATATTATCAAGTCCCCACCCATACCTCAATGCAGTCACTGTCCATCAGTGCAGCAAGATGCCACAGATCCTGTAACTGGCATTTTCATTTAACACTACGCTACTAATGTTTTTCCATTTAAGTATATACATATGTATATTATTTAAAAAAATGTCCAAACAGTGTTTCATTGTATGGCTATGTCATAGTTTATTAAATCAATCTTCTGCTGGATACTGAGGTTGTTTCTAGTTATTTGTTTGTTTATTTACTTATGCATTTGTATATTCATTCATGCACATGTTCATTTCCATTACAATGCTGTGTGATGAATCCCCTGTACACACACCTTTGCATACTTGTGCTCAGAGTACAGGACATTGCTGATTGCTTTCGTTTTTGGTACTCCGTGCACCCCTAGCTTCTGCCTTGCTTCTCCTCTGTCATAGCAAACCACTCTGTACCCTGAACACACAATGCACATTCATCCCTTCTTGCTTCTGTCCAGTGTCTTTTCCGAAAAGACTATTTCCTACTTTCCCTTCTTGCCCAAGTCTTTGCCCAAGGGTTGCCTGGACCAGCCTTCCCTAATGGCTTCCATTTACGTGGTGCTTACCGTGTGCGAGGCCATGTGCTGGAGCAGACATTACATCATTCCATCCCGTAACGGTGGGAGGAGGAACGGACTACATTACTGTCAGCATTTAACAGTGGCAAAAACTGAAGTTCAGAAAATGAAGGAACCTGTCCATGTCACTCATCAAAGGAAGAGCCAGGATTTAATCTCCAGTCTCTTCTACTGTATAATCCATGAATCCACATGACCACCATGTCAGTCACACTGTGCCTTGGGCTCTGGTAGTCATAGGGTCTCTGGCATGTGCCTTGTACAGCAGGTACTGAACTGAGTTATGGTAACTTACTCCCAACTCTTCTTCCCTTCACTAGACCAAGCACTCCCCGAGGGCAGACCCTGTGTCTCTGCCTTCTGCATTTCCCATTCTGAGTACAGAACCTGTCATATTGTAAGTGTTGATAGGTGTTGATAAGGATTTGAATGAATGACCTTGTGTTTGCTGAACCCCAGTACCTCCTGAGCCAGGTCAACAGTCAAACTTCAGCACTCAGTAGTATGTGCTAAGATTGGTGTTTATTTTCTGCGAATTCATGAAAATAAAATACCCTCTTCCCGGGGCCCTAATTAACTAAATCATAAGAAGCTCTTTAGACTGGCAGGCAGTAGAACTTAATGTGTAAGAAACAGGCTCTTAAGTAAGATGACCCATGTTCTGATCCCAGTCCTGTATCGATTGAGCATTTTATTTTCATAATCCTGTTACCCAACTAGTAAAATGGAGCTAATGACAGCTGCTTGCTAATTGGGTCATGATGATGATTAAAGGAGGATGCTGATCTAAACACTGGGTACAGCGCCCGGCACACAGAAGGTGCTCAATAAATGTTAGTTGCACTATTGTCGCTAACATCAACACTGGTCCTTGTCAATGTTGGTTCAGAGTGGAATAGATCAAGCTTTCATTTCCTTTCTTGCCCTTCAAAGCTTTGATGAGGATGACTTTTTTCCTAGACTTTCAATTTCCACAAACAATTCTTCTTTCCTTGAGTTGTGAAAGAAACATTTGTGGAGTGCCTTCTGTTTACCAACGTCCTTCCTGGTTGGTCCGTCACCTGAGGGGGAGAGTCTCTAGTAGGAGAGTCAGCCTGGCCCCACCAGCAGCTCAGGGGAACATAACATTTTCTTGCTTTTTGGTTTTGAGAACATTACTTGATTCTCTGGAAAACGCACCCCTTTTTTTCATTTAAAATGTCAAAGATTTGTTTTAAACGTTTCTCATGAAGGCTTTGTACCTGGATAGGATGAAGGGATGGTTAGGAAGTTTCTAGAGTTTCATAGAGGTGCCTATGCTCTCTTTGTTCTTTGGGACAAAAGCTTTCCTGTATCAGCAGCTCCTGAAGGTGACTTTAGGAACCAGCATGTG